TATTTATACACATTTGATAAATAAATAAATGTATTAATATATTAATTAAATGTTATAAATAAATACATTTAAGAAATAAATGATAAAATATATTAATATTAATATATTAAGAAAAAAATAAAATACATTTAATAAAATACATTTATTTCTTAAATACATTTAAGAAATAAATGTAATAAATATATGTATTAAGTAAGTGTAAACATTAATAATACATTTAATATATACATTTAAATAAATCACAAATCAGCATAAATAGTACTATGATGAATTAAAACATTTAATAACTAAAGAAAAGTATTATCTAAATAAATCAATTTAATTCATAAATAGAATAAATAAGTAATTTTAATAACGTGATGAATGAATAAATCTAAAGATTAATGGATACATTTAATATATAAAAGATGAATAAGATAATATAATATATAAAAGAATAAATTAAGAAAAAAAAACTCTTGATTTAAATCGGCATAAAAAATTACTTCCGTAAAGTATGAATGCTTATATTATTTCAATACATTATTAAAATCAAATATATATTTTTGCATAATAAATGACAATGCCAGTTCATAAATGTTATATATAAATAAATTTAATGAATAAAGTGTTTAATATGTAAATAAATGTAATGTCTGAATAAATAAATTTAATAAATGCATAAAAAAATATTTTGTGTTGTTTTGAAATATTTTATATCGGCATAAATTAATAGTACAAGAAATAGTAATACATTTATTATTTAAAAGTACATTAATATACACTTTTCATGTGTAACATAAAAACGATCACAGTTTCACAGTAATGACTATGTAAGATGAAAATGTGTTTAATTGTCTTGAAAATGCATTTATGCCCAGCTAATAAATGAATAAATATTGTTTATATTACAAAGTATGTAAACATCAGAGAGTTTGTGATATTGTGATCCATCCCAGATCTGGTTGGTTTGGTTTTTTTCTTAAATGGCTGTCCAGAAAGTGAATGGGAATGATGGGAAAGAGGGTTTTGTTCAGGACATCTGTGCGCTTTGAGGCTGAGGTTTGTCGTGTTTGTCGTTGTGTTTCAGGGCTGTGGTTGAGAAGTATCTGCTGGAGAAGTCCCGTCTGGTGTCCAGAGAGAAGAACGAGAGGTGAATGTCGCTGCTTTGCAATGAAAGCCAGGCTGGTTTGATGTGTCCCACCATATCGGTCGGCCCATTGCTCTCACAGCTGTTTCTGCAGCGTTAACCTCATTATTATCAGCTCGTATCAGCTCACCAAGACTGCTGCAGATCATCAGCCTGCAAAACCTGAAAAACAGAGCCGTGTCGAGTATTATCTAAATAAATCAATTTAATTCATAAATAGAATAAATAAGTAATTTTAATAACGTGATGAATGAATAAATCTAAAGATTAATGGATACATTTAATATATAAAAGATGAATAAGATAATATAATATATAAAAGAATAAATTAAGAAAAAAAAACTCTTGATTTAAATCGGCATAAAAAATTACTTCCGTAAAGTATGAATGCTTATATTATTTCAATACATTATTAAAATCAAATATATATTTTTGCATAATAAATGACAATGCCAGTTCATAAATGTTATATATAAATAAATTTAATGAATAAAGTGTTTAATATGTAAATAAATGTAATGTCTGAATAAATAAATTTAATAAATGCATAAAAAAATATTTTGTGTTGTTTTGAAATATTTTATATCGGCATAAATTAATAGTACAAGAAATAGTAATACATTTATTATTTAAAAGTACATTAATATACACTTTTCATGTGTAACATAAAAACGATCACAGTTTCACAGTAATGACTATGTAAGATGAAAATGTGTTTAATTGTCTTGAAAATGCATTTATGCCCAGCTAATAAATGAATAAATATTGTTTATATTACAAAGTATGTAAACATCAGAGAGTTTGTGATATTGTGATCCATCCCAGATCTGGTTGGTTTGGTTTTTTTCTTAAATGGCTGTCCAGAAAGTGAATGGGAATGATGGGAAAGAGGGTTTTGTTCAGGACATCTGTGCGCTTTGAGGCTGAGGTTTGTCGTGTTTGTCGTTGTGTTTCAGGGCTGTGGTTGAGAAGTATCTGCTGGAGAAGTCCCGTCTGGTGTCCAGAGAGAAGAACGAGAGGTGAATGTCGCTGCTTTGCAATGAAAGCCAGGCTGGTTTGATGTGTCCCACCATATCGGTCGGCCCATTGCTCTCACAGCTGTTTCTGCAGCGTTAACCTCATTATTATCAGCTCGTATCAGCTCACCAAGACTGCTGCAGATCATCAGCCTGCAAAACCTGAAAAACAGAGCCGTGTCGGAAGAGCCGCCTAAAAATAGAGCCGCTGCTAACTGAGTGAAGCTTTTCAATAGTGTGACGTAGGGCTGGGCGATATAGCTAAAATATTGATCACTGCACTATATCGAACGTTTTTTATATCGTTATCGAAGAAGGTGTACCGTCGATAAATATCGATACCGTTTTATTGCCCAGGCCTAGTGTGATGGCGCGCCTGAGTTCAGAATATTGTAGAATAGCTTTGATTAATTAGATAAGTAGCATGTGCTTTTGGGATTTACCCTAGTGAACTGATTCATTCAAATGACTCAAAGAGGGGAAATCCTAATAGTTATGAGTGAATTGATTCACGTAAAAATAACTGGTTCTAAAACAAGATATTACCTTCTTCAAACTTAATGTGCAACTAAATAAATGTAATATCTACATAATTTTAAATGAATAAAAATGACTCTATTAGACTGAATATTTTCATTTAAATGAGCAGAATCACTTATGAATGAACCGATTCATTCAAATGGTTCATGCAAATGATTTGGTCCAGAAACAAGATAACACCTTCTTCAAATTTAATATATGAATAAAAAAATGGAATATATAAATACGTTTGAATGAATGAATGAAATAAATTTTTGGTTGAAATTATTTTTTTTTAAATCAGCATAATTAAGTAGTGCCATTATTAATGAATCAACTGAATCATTCAGATGGTTCATGTAAATGAATTGATCCAAAAACAGCCCTTTCAAATTTAATGTATAAATAAATTGTATGTATATATATATATTTATGTATATGTGTGTTTGTATGTGTATATGTATGGATGTATGAATATGTGTGTGTGTGCGTGTATGTGTATGTGTGTATATATATATATATATATTAGGGATGCACCGATACCACTTTTTCCAGTACTCGCCCGATACCAATACTTTTATTTTTGGTACTTGCCGATACAGAGTACCGATACCAATATTTTTATTGCATTTGTAAATTTTTTAAATATTGGGTACAGAAACCAAAAGAGTATGTATAATGTTAGTTGGTTAACTTCATTTATCAAATTGTAAATATTTTCAAAATATATACTGTATGTGTGTGTGTTTATATATACATAATAAATAAACACAGTACACACACATATATTACGTAATCAAAAACCTTTATTTTGGATGCGATTAATCGTTGCCCAGCACTAATACAAATGATCGCTTTACAAGTAAAACCGCTTTCTTATCCCTCATTAACAGTGTTTACTAGAGATGCACCAAAATTTCGTCCGCCGTTTCGGTTTTCGGGGAAAATGCATCGAGAATTTTTGGTTTCTGCCCAGAATTTTAATTTTGGTGCATCCCTAGTTTACTGATACTAAAATAGCTTATGCACAAAAACTGCATAGAAATTGCAACGGTTTTCCGTTTTTGTTTTTTGTTTGCAGCAAAACTTTACGATAGAAGATGCAGACGATCTTCGGCACGACTTCGAGCGACTGCAGCAGGCGATGGAGATGGTCGGCTTCCTGCCGACCACCAAGAGACAGTGAGTCAAACCGTTACGACAAATGTCTTCAGACTGGTTGAAGAAGGAAATGAAGTATCTGAGACGTTTGGGTTGTTTGTTGCGTTCCTCGTAGGATATTCTCCGTCCTGTCGGCCATCTTGTATCTGGGTAACGTGACGTACAGTCAGAAGGCGTCCGGCAGAGAGGAGGGTCTGGATGTGGGTCCGCCGGAGGTGCTTTCCACACTCTCAGACCTGCTAAAGGTACATGCATTTCCAAAACTTACCACCAGGGACGTGATTTTTACATATTTATGCAGATTTCTGTATTTTCTGACCGGAGCCAGATCGGACGTGCTGAACTCGTCATATTATCACAACTATTCAGGGTTTGCAACCATATAATGCTTATTTTAGGTTTCAGACATTTAAATACACCTAAGTACTAGCAAAACCATACATTTATAGTTTGTAAAATACACGCCGATGTCTGTGGAAATGGCACTAATGATCCTTACAAATATAATCTGACGACATGTTTTATTGATATCATATACACATTGTGTAGGTAACTATAACGTTTACTATACTCTTCTCCCAGTTCACCGGAGACTTACTTCAACGTGTTTCGGGAGGAGAGGATGAATTTATGTGTTGTTAATCCCACAGCTCGAATTTAGCGAGAACTAACATGGCGGCGCCCATCACCCGCTATAGGTCAACTAACACGGTCGATATAAACGTGTTTAAACTACAAATACATTTACTTGCATATATTTCAGAATCGGAATATCAGATGTTTCATAATATAGTGAGTATGTTTATGAATATTAATAATAAAAAAAGGAAAAACGAAATAAAGGCGATAGATCTGTCATACAGCGCTATTGGGGCTGCGGTGTGTGACATGACAAGCATGACACATCTCCATGGAAACAATAAAGTCAGCTAATATATATTTTAAACTAATGTGTGAAAAGTTTAAAATACATGTGTTTAATGCTTGGATACCTTCCTAAATTTGTAATGATGAAATCCGCCAAAATAAAAGCTGAATATCTGTATTTATTTTATTAAATATTATTATTATTATTATTGTTGTTGTAATTACTATCATTATTATTGTAATTGCTATAATTATTAAATGCTTAATTTTTTTAATAATATTTTATAGTTACTCCAATAGTAATATTTCTTTATTGATGATATTTTATAATGTAAATAAAATAAAAATATACAATATTTATAAAAAATATATATTTTTAATAATTTTTATTTAATAATCATTTCATTTAATGATGATTATTATTATTATTTTATTTTCATATATTTTATCTATAGTTTTATTTTTAATATGATTGTATTTATTATTATTGTCGTTGTTATTATTTTTATTATTATTGAATCTTATTTTTTATTTTACAGTACAATACTATTATTGCAACAGAAATGTGTTTTGATTTGTTTGAATGTAATAATTAAAATAATAAAATAAAAATCTAAAAACATTAATAAAATGTTTAAAATAATAATAATTATTATTATTTTATATATTGTTTTATTTTATATTGCTGTTGTTTTTACTATTCTTTTATTTTATAGTATTATTGCACTACTGATATATATTTATGTATTGATTTAAATTTAATTATTCAAATTGTACAATATAAAAATTTAAGTATTAATAAAATAAAAATATTTTTTGAATGTTTTGAATAGTAGTATTTATACTTTATTATTGTTATTATTATTGTGTTGACCTACTGAATGGGGAAAACAGATTTTCCTTCATTTTTGTCTTTAGTTTATCACGATTTCATGCTTTTGCGCATGGTTTTCATGCTGTAGTTTGTTGGATATTTTGAATGTCACTTCACAAACATTGTGCTGTTTTCGTCCAGGTTAAGGAGGAGCTGTTGGTGGAGGCTCTTACCAAAAGGAAAACGGTGACCGTAAACGACAAGCTGATTCTGCCCTACAGCCACAGCGAGGTGCGCTAGAGCCGTCCTCTTTCATACGCCGCTTTTAGCAGAGCGTCCAGGTGTTCTGTAGCTAAACAAGTGTCGTTTGTGCAGGCGATCACCGCTCGAGACTCCATGGCCAAGTCACTGTACAGCGCCCTGTTCGACTGGATCGTCCTGCGCATCAATCACGCGCTGCTTAATAAGAGAGACATGGAGGAGTCCGTTTCGGTAAGATGTTCAATTTATTTATAAAGCACTTTAAAACAACCTTAGTATACCAAAGTGCAGTACACAGTTACATTGATCCAATCACACAATAGAGTAAACACGTCATTAGAAAACCAGTCACAAAACATTGAAAGCATGGGAAAAAAGATACGTTTTTAAAAGACTTTTAAACTCAGACACTGAAGAAGCTATTCTGATGGATAATGGCAAATTGTTCCATAGCTTGGGGCCAGCAACAGCAAAGGCTCTGTCACCCCTGCATTTCAATCTAGCTCTGGGAACAAAAAGCCGATGCTTAGTCTGTGATCTGAGTGATCTAGCTGGATTGTGTACTATAATCAACTCCGAGAGATATGGAGGAGCAAGGTTGTTTAGAGCTTTGTACACGAATAGCAGAACTTTGAATTGGATGTGATAAATAATCGGTAACCATGAATGATGAATGAAACCACAACGATCAGAATCTGCGTTAAAGATGTTCAAGGTCTCAATAATCATGCGGTTTCTCCATTATTTCAGTGTTTATCTATTGGTGTGCTTGATATCTTCGGCTTCGAAGACTTTGAGACCAACAGCTTTGAACAGTTCTGCATCAACTACGCCAACGAGCAGCTTCAGTATTACTTCAACCAGCACATCTTTAAACTTGAACAGGTTAGTGGGGTGGTTTGCATGGGCGCAACCTCCAAAAGTCTTCATTAACTCTTATTTTTGGTGGCGATTTGATCACAATGTGTGTTTCGTCCGCCTGCAGGAGGAGTATCAGGCCGAGGGCATCACCTGGCACAACATCGACTACACCGATAACGTCGGCTGTATTCACCTCATCAGCAAGAAGCCCACTGGACTCCTCTATTTACTTGATGAGGAGAGCAAGTAAGACCGTTCATCTGCATCGGTTCATTGCTCTCTGAACTTATTTTTCGGAAAAGATTAGCAGCAATTTTTGTGCTTATACACAATTTTTTTTCCTTATAGCTTTCCTCACGCTACTGATAAACCCTTGCTGGCCAAGTTCAAACAGCAGCACCAACAGAACCATTACTTTGTGGCGACTCCAGTGTTGGAGCCGGCCTTCGTCATCCTCCATTTTGCTGGGAAGGTCAAATACCAGATTAAGGTAAAAGCAACTGAGTATAAGAATGATAAATGTTTAATTATTTTTTTTAAGTGGAAAATAAAATTGAAAATAAAATTTGCAATTTTATTTTAATAAAAAATGTCTGACACATAGGACAATTAGTAGTTCAATTATTTTTAAGAATAATTAATATTCTAATATTTATTTAAATTATTATTTTTTGGCCAGGCTAAATAATAAAAATAAATTTAGTTTGATCTTTACAAAATGACTGTAATGGCACATAAAGTATTAATTGCTAAGGTCATAAAAATAACTTATTGTATATGTTAGTCAGTTAGTTAGCTAGTTAGTTAGGTCAGGCCAAATAATGAAAATAAAAGTTTTGTTGATGTTTACAAATTTATGTTAATGATACAGTAAAATTAGAATCTTAAAGTTATAATAAAAAATAATTTATTATATATGTTACTATTTTATACATTAATATTTATTGATTTATGTATTTATTTAGGTCAGGCCAAATGATGAAAATAAAAATTTTGTTGATGTTTACAAAATTCCTTTAATGACACATTAAAAATGAGTAAAATTAGTATCTTAAAGGTATAATAAAAAGTGATTAATTAGATATGTTACTATTTTACAATAGTTAACCCCCGTTCACCCCAAGAACGATAACTATAAAGATAACGATATTAGCGTCCACACCAGCGAACGATATCGTCTGTTTATTCTAAGCGCACGCGCGTCTGCCTCTTTAAATTCTCGAGCTCGTTACAGCAGGATGGATTCTGATTGGCTGTTGATTTTTTTTTTTATCGTTCATCAGCTGGAGAAAAATCGCTTTGAAAGTGATTCCAACGATACCGTTTCTCTGTGTCTTTATCGTTATAGTTGTGGTGTGGACTCTGCTATTCTTTAATATTGAGAACGAGTTTTAGAACTATATATTTA